TGGAGCATCACATTTAAAAGCTCAAAATGGCCAGAAAAAGAGAACTTTCATCTAAAACTCGACAGTCTATCCTTGTTCTTAGAAATGAAGGCTATTCCATGCGAGAAATTGCTAAGAAATTGAAGATTTCCTACAACGGTGTGAACTACTCCCTTCAGAGGACAGCAACGAGGACAGACCTCGGCGTCGCGCTATGACGTAATAGGTCTATGAATCAGGCCTTCGGAGGACGCAGCAGCTGGATTGGTACTCAGTAAACGTTTCTCCTTCTAAACACTTCAAAGCCAAACTGGCTTATTGTGGTCTTGCTAACATAGTGAGGACCAGGTCTCCATCTAACCCTGAATCCTCATTTCTTCTCTCTTGCAGAGGGATGGCTTAGTGGTTAGAGCAGTGCTCTGCTGCTCTGAGAAGGTTCCTAGTACCCGGTTCGATCTTCCCACAGACTGCACTCAGGGTCCCTGAGTAGGACCCTTAACCTCACACTGCTCCACATGCATCGCACAATGGCAGCCCACTGCTCCCCAAGGGGAGGGGTTAAATGCAGAGGGAATTTCTCCACTGTGAGATCAATGAAGGGATTAACATTTATTGACACTGAACCAGAACCCAGACAGGGTCAGATGAGGTCATTATATAAGGTCATTTTTTGAGCTAAACACCTCTAGAACCTGCAGGACAGCAGCTTTGGACAACTATCATGAACAGAACCAGGGAGGTGAGATCATGGAGGTCAAGAAGTTTTTTTCTGGATCAGATGATTAAAACTTCAACCAGCGTCAAAAACGACTTTGAATTTAAAACGAGTCTCATCAGAAGTTTAAGCAACATGTTGGAAACTATAAGGAAACATTCCTTCTCTGATGGATGGACCGAGGTCCCTGGAGGTTGGCCCCTGACTTAGATGGACCTGAAGGTGGCCCAGAATGTGGCCCCTGAAAGCGGACCTGAAGGTGGCCCTTGGGTTAGAAGAACCTAAAGGTGGCCCCTGGGTTAGGTGGACCTGATGGTGGCCCCAGGTTCCCCTGAACCTTGAACGCCATGAAAGGATGGCATGCAGCATGGTCCTAGGTTCCACCGGTTCTGCTGCCAGCCCCATGGTTAGCTAACATTAACGGCCAGGTAGGGACCTGGATGTTCTGACCCAGGATGGGTTCTGTGATGGACCCAGAGAAGACGCTGGTTCTGGTCAAAGTTCTTTAATGATTAAAAACAATAAAGTTCCTTAAATAAACAACAACAGAGTTCTAGCTTGAAACGATCCATGAAGACTCTACTGCTGGGAACACTGGTTCTCCTGGGTTGTATCAGACCTCACGTAGATCACCTCAACCTTTGGTTTCCTTCTCCTCCCTTCTTGTAGGTTCTGCTGGCGGTTCTCCTCAAGCTCGTCTTTCTCCTCGGTACCGGTCCAACTGAGGAACAAGCAAAAGAACAGAGGTCATCATTAGGCTTCAGTCTGGGGGACAGGGTGGGCTTCTGAGAGAATGAAGACAAACTGAACCGAGCTGGTTCTATAGAGAACATTCTGACTGATCCTGACCAATCAGGTGCCTCGTTGACCTGACCCTGGTACTAAGGATCCAATCAGAGACCAGCTGCTGGTCCTAACTAGACCAGGACCAGCAGCAGAACCCACCTGGAGTTGAAGATCACTTCTGGGTCATCAGAGCTGATCTTCACACACTTGGCAGGTTGGACCTCTGGTTCTGGAAGAGATAAGAAATGATGAGCAGATCGTCCACTGCAGGGAACCATCG